GCTGGATAAAACCTGGAACTAAACGCTATTTCTGACATTTAGAATTAAAAAATCTTCCTGGATGGAAGAGAAATGTCTTTAAACTTGGAAACAAAGTCCAGTGGATTGATTGTAATTTTCTTTTTTTGGGATGCCATTTACATTTTCTAACAGGGAGGCTAAACGATCAGTTCAGGATAATCCAGAACCAGCAGAGCACCAACAGTCCCAGTTCTCCTGGTTCAGGCCTGTGGCAGCGCTGGAGCTCTAATCCACGTTAAACTGACGGTTTACCTAATCTGTCCCCGTGAGTGAAGAGGATGACCGCTCGCTGCCAGATGGGTGTCTCCAGCAGTCTGAGCTGGGCTTCCATGGCCGCCCACTCCTCCTGACCCAACCTGGAGGAGATGGGCAGCACCAGCAGGATGGCGTCGGGTCCCTGATGGCAGAGGGTCACAGCTCGCAGGAGCTCCTTGGACACCCAGTGGGGGGTGGAGGAGTGGGACAGCCATCCTGGGGTGTCCACCACGTCCACCTGAGGGATGAAGTTCAAAGTGAGCAACAATGAGCTGATAAAGTGAGTAAAGTTATAAAGTGGGTAACTGACCTGTATGCCAAAGATGGCGGCGCTCCTCCTGCAGCTCTGGGTGGTTTTCTTGTGAAAAGCTCTTCTGGACAGGATGGCATTTCCTGCGGAGCTCTTCCCACTTTCCTTCTCGCCCAGCAGCAGTAAAACCAGTCCGGTTGTGGTGGATCTGGAACCTGACCAACAGCCGGCATCTCTAAGTCATTCACACAACAGGCGGCAGTTTCTATAGAAACAGCTGGAAGTTTCTTACCATAGGAAGCCATGAAAGTTCTCCGGGTTTGAAGTTATTCACGCAGTATTTGGAAAATAATCAGAGGAGGAACCAGTTCTGGGTTTTCTTGTCCATAACTCCTCCTGTGCCTGTAAACACTGAACCAGTAAAGCTTTATCTTTAGGTGGACCTTATGGAGGGAGGGGGGGTCCAAGGTTCACAGCTGAGGACTTCCAGAGAATTGGCTCTGCTCATAAAACGCTTTAGTCATAAGTGTTTATCAACTTTTTTCTATTTTAAACCCTTTTATGACCGAAGACTAAAATAAATTCACATCTTAGACCCAAATCTAGTGAAACAAGTGATCATTATAAAAAAAAAAAAAAAAAAAATTCTTTATTGGTAAAATACAAAATATGTGGTCTAACACCCACATTAGACTTAAAACTGTTCCACAGGCTCCTCTCCTGTGGAACCAACTACCAGTTTTAGTCCGTGAGGCAGACACCCCGTCTACTTTTAAGGCT